TATATGTATGTATGTATATGTATATGTATATGTATGTGTATATATATATAGTAAAGCTTAACAACACTTTTTATTGTTATTGTTCTCTGTTCCTACCCAGATTCTGGCCAATGTTATCATTTTCATGTGTGGCAACATGGCTGGAGCGTACCATAAGCACCTGATGGAGCTGGCACTCAAACAGACCTACCAGGACACCTGCAACTGCATCAAGTCCCCAATTAAACTGGAGTTTGAGAAGAGACAGCAGGTAACGTGGTTAATAACACGTAATTAAAACACTGAAACAATGAACACCAGGCAATAAAATATTTATGATGTTGCTGTTCATTACAATAATTGTTACAGTAATGACTTTCAGATTTTAAACATTACCTCTAATTATCATTTGCTAATTTAGTAATATAGTGTAGTACAATGGCATGGGGAAATGTTGGAGCCTTGTTAGAATGACTTATCTTATAATGTAGTCTGAATTTTTATGTCATGCACTCGAGTTAAACATCCCACTGCTACTTAACTCATCTTTCCTCTATTGTTCTTTTGTTTCCTGTGTATTTTTATGTCATACGTACATGCTATACTTAGCGGTTCCATAGAGTATTTGAGTGTTTTACACATTTGCCTAACAAGTGAAAGATCCCCAATTTGATCCCAAGAGGAGACACAAATCCCAATGAGTTTGTGTCAGGAAAGATATGTGGTGTAAAAAAAAATCTGACATATAAAACATGTAGAGCTGCCATGTGAATATGGGAACAGCTGAAAGTAGCACTTGTGTCCTGTGCTTAAAATGTCACTCTTCATATTAACACTCAAGTTATTGAAATCAATCGGCTCTGGATAAATGGATTCCTTCTTATAGCACTTTTCTATTCCACCTGAGCACTCAAAGCTCGTCATTGACCCGTTCATACAATCAGTTTTATTATGCTTAAGTGCTTTCTGTTAGTATTTGAGTATCTTTGGCATGCAGACCTGAACAGCCAGGGATTGAACCATCAACCGTCCAGCTACTGGATGAACTGCTCTATCTTCTGAGTTACAACGACAGAGAACTTTGTCAGGGCTACACTGTGCAGAATGTGGGAATTGTTAATGAAGTCAGTGTGTGATTATCTCAGCCTATTGCTATAGTTGGTTTTTTTATGACAATTATCCTCATTGAGGATTAATGGTAATATTTTCTATGATTTCTTTTAAAGTGAACACACATCACTCACATTTTGGATCGTGCTAGTTGTTTTCTATTATTGATATTGTACCGCCTTGCATTGTCTTTCTCTGCATCTACCTGCAAAGTTGGAAGCGTTGAAATATAATAATGCTAATTTGTTATTAATACTTTCAAGTGGTGCAGCATCCTGTGAGATAGTATTAGCAAAGTGTTGATTAAAGCACTCTGATGTGCGACTCTGGGATCTGGCTAGCTTTTTACTACAGCTTTTGGTGAGTTATTTAGTGAGATGATGTGAATCCAGCTGCTGTTGTGAAAGCCCAGGCTTAGGGTTGAGCTGGTTTTTCATATGGTAAATGCAGGTTGTGGTGTTAGAAGTGCCACGAGGAAAGCTGAAAATGTCTAGGGTGGAGCATTTCACAGTAGCCCTGGAGTGCTGCTGCTGCCTGTGACAGATGGTAGTAACTGTGCAGAGACACATTCCTCCTGGGCGCTCATTGCACTCATAATATATGCTGTTTGCTGCACTGCATGCTTTTATCCAAAGTGCTTTGCAGTACAGTGAGTGCATACATTTTCACTATGAGTGGTCCAAGTGGACTATGGGAATTCATCATACACCAAAATCACTGGCGGTATTCACAAGAAAAATTTCCCTCTCTTCCACATAAAATCCTCTGAGCGTGAAAAAAAGATGATGATCATTGGTTGTCACGTTTGGGCTGATATTGGATTAATTAAGCATTTCCACCCAGCTTCTCTTCACCCTAAAGGTGAATTGCTTGCTAGGTACTGTAGGTTACACTCAGTAGTCTGAGACACCTGAGAAAATAAAGGAGAAAGAAGTGAATAAATGCTGAATTTAAATTGTACTTGCAATCAATTCATTTTCTGTGCCAGCAACCTAATGCATGCACTCTAGTTTAACTTTGAACCTATACATGAAATTTCATTTAGTTTATACACCTCATAGAAATTAAGTATAGATAACACAAAGTGAGTTAAACTTAAGGAATATCAATGTGTCCAGCTAGGAAGCATCAACCATTGTGAATGCTCTGGTCTGTGAGCACAGATTCCACTGAAGGACCTCATCCCACCTTCATGTAGTCTTTGGGCAAAAACATACATGAAAGATTCACTAAAGGTCATCATGGGGGCTCTGTCAGTGTTCCTCCTGTTTCTCCTTTCACAAAGGAGCAGATACTGGTCAATCATTACCCGTCTCCTGGTTTCTCAGCCATACTTTTGAAACTTTGCTGGGAGACATAGCAGACCTTACCGTCTTTTAACGATTGTATGGATGCGCCACGTTGTAGAAGCTGGCCTACCTATACAACCTGAGAGGGCTGCAGATATTGTGTCATACTCCCAGTAGTGAAAAGGACGCGACCAAAAAAAGCAAAACTAGCAAAGAATCAGCAAGGAAGGAGAAGGAGAGAGCACCAGCATCTTGCAGTCACTACCTGCTAAAGCATTCCCTTTCTGGGAGTTGTCTTTTTGTTGCAGGTGAAAGTGATTCACAGTGGCATATGTTTGCTAACTGGAGTGAGTGATATTGCTGAAGTTTAACTGACTTTGCTGTTCATTTTCTAAACCTAATATGCATGTATATTTCATGTGACCATCTGCTATCTGCTTATTCCTTAAGTTACAGGTGTGGGGCAATGAATCAATGTGGCCCTGAGGCAATAGACTCCACAGTTAACAGAAATAGGTTATGTTTGTGCATATGTCATATTTGCTTTGTGATTTAACCAACTACTGTACATGACCTGAATTTAACTATTTAATTTCCTCGTCACTTTGTCACATACATTTAAGTGCTTCATGGTAAAAATAAATAAAAAGGTTAATTACATAATGATCAGCTTTTTTTTCTTGATGTTTCTGACTGTCCCTGCATTACTGCTACTTCTTTTTTTCCCCTTTGTTTTCTGCCATTAGGAGCGTCTCCTACTGTCTCTGCTGCCAGCTCACATTGCCCGTGTAATGAAAGCCGAGATCATCCAGAGATTAAAGGGTCCAAATTTTGGCCAGATTGAAAACACAAACAATTTTCACAACCTCTATGTCCAGAGGCACACTAATGTCAGGCATGTATCTTTTTTAAATCAAATGTATTGTAGCCAAGTGGTTCTGTATTTAGGTCAAATTTACATACAGAGTAGGTACATACTAATGCATATTTTCAAATCAGATGTTTTCTAAACTATAAAATCATTAAAGTGTATCCATTACTGTTTTTTATATATCTAGCATACTTTATGCTGATATAGTCGGATTCACACGACTGGCCAGTGACTGCTCACCTGGAGAACTTGTGCACATGCTGAATGAACTGTTTGGCAAATTTGACCAAATAGCTAAGGTAAACTTTTGCCTGCTCTGCTCTTGTAATGAATTACTGTCCTAACACATGCTTATCTTCTTTAGATTAAGAGAGCTTACCTCTCAAACTGCTTTACTGGAAAGTATTTTACTCGCTAGGAAATTTGTGAAGTGTGGAATTCACAAATTCTTATTCACATGTTAGAAATTCTTAAAATTCCATGTATGTCCCTGCACCCTTGAATCATCCATGCCAGTCAAACAAATGTCTTTGAATGAAAATATTGCATACTAAAATTAGCCCTGCAGCATTCAATGAGGCGTAACACTGATTATAACCAGCTTTTAATGCAATGTCATGCAAAATGGTTACATTTAGTTTTCTCTAATGTTTTTTCAAATTCCTGCAAACACCTTGTACTCAGTTATTTGATGGTTAGACACCATACAGTTTGTGCTGAAAGTGTCCTAGATAGAAGATAGATCTCAGTAGTTTTCACTTTCACTGATACATACGTTTCTGTCACTGATATTTATCAAACAAACTGATTTCAAAAAGTAAAAAGATTGTTTTTATTTATAATTCACACCGTGTTCTAGCTTTTGGAAGCAGGGTTGTAAATGAACATTTTGATATTTACCTGACCTTTTGTAGCAGAGACTATATTTCACCCTTCTATATGCAGGAAAATGAATGTATGCGGATCAAAATCCTTGGTGACTGTTACTACTGTGTGTCCGGCCTGCCAGAGTCACTGCCGAACCACGCCAAAAACTGTGTAAAAATGGGTCTAGACATGTGTGAGGCCATTAAGTAAGTGCTGCCATGGAGTAAAATTGTTTTTCCAATTTCATTTACTAGAGTTCAGCCTGGTGAATGAATCACTGATGTCAAAAACATGTTGTGACGATGTTCAGATTGTTAGTGTGGTTACTGGAAAACAGAAATAAGTATTAACATACTGATTAGCAGACCTGCAATGAAAACAAAGGACTAATTGTTGTTGCTGTTTTCCGCTTTTTTTTAAGTACTTTTCACTGTTTAGTTTTAGTTTTTTTTTAAGCAGCATATATTGTATGTCACAGAGTTAGGCTTGTTTTCTGACAGGCTAGATGGCATGCATTGTTTTTTTCCTGCTCCACATTAACAAAACACAACTTTTTGATGTATGACAGGAAAGTACGGGACGCCACAGGGGTTGATATCAACATGCGTGTTGGTGTGCATTCTGGGAATGTCTTGTGTGGTGTCATTGGACTTCAAAAATGGCAGTATGATGTCTGGTCACATGATGTCACACTGGCCAATCACATGGAGGCAGGTGGTGTACCAGGGTAAGTGAGAAGCATATAAAAACATACTGTAAGGTATTTGAATTTCAAAACAGGAAATTCAGCTAATTCATATTTTGCCTGGACCAGTGTTGTCTGGCTTGTTGTTTGCTAAATGTCCAGATATATTGTTAATATACACAGGAAACCATTCTTTTATCAAATGTTCCCTTTAAGGCGAGTCCACATCACTTCAGTGACACTGGAACACCTAAATGGTGCCTATAAGGTGGAAGATGGGGATGGACAAGAAAGAGATCCTTACCTGAAGGAACATGGAGTCATCACATATCTGGTCATTAACCCAAAGGTATCACACACATGTCAGATCCAGTAAAAAAGAATATTGGACACTGAAGAAAACGCATCAGCATGAGAATTCAAACACGAAACATGTTTGTCCAGGTCGAGCGGCGGAGCCCACAGCATCATTACCGACCCAGAAACACTCTAGATGGAGCCAAGATGAGAGCCTCTGTCAGGATGACCCGCTATCTGGAGTCATGGGGAGCAGCGAAGCCCTTTGCCAACCTGCACCACAGAGACAGCATGACTAATGAGAATGGGAAGATCAATACTGCTGTGTGTAATTTCTTTCTGGACATGTTTTTTCTTGTTTGTCAGTTAATCTGTAGCTGCTAACTTGTCTCTCTTCTCTTGCACTGTGTTTAGGACGTGAAGATGGGGCAGTATCACTTCCAGAGAAGATCAGAAAGGCAAATTACTCATATTATAGCTCCGCACGATTTCGTTTGACAGGATTATCCTCATCTCTTTTTATATTATAAGGACAGCCAAGAAAATGTTTTGATAACATTATTTTATTTTTTTGCTTTAAGCTTTAAAGTGTGAGTCATTAATGCTATGTGAAAATAACAGATATCTTGTCTCTTACATTTTGTTATCCATTAAAGGACCAAGTCTCAGAAAAAACGGTTTGAGGAGGAGCTCAACGAGAGGATGATCAGGACTTTTGATGGGATAACGTCACAAAAGTATTATTACATACATATAAACATGTATTACTCGTGTTAATATACTCCAAGAACAGACTAGCATATTGTAGATTATCCTACTGCAGATAAGGTCGTGTTTTCTAATAGTACAACTCAATGAACATGGCTGTGTTAAAACACAATATGTAAATTTATTCATGCCTATATTCTTACTACTTTAATCTTAATTTAGTTTTCATTTACTTAATGTTCTTTTCTTTTAAATCCAGTCTATAACACTGCGTTTATGCTTCCAGACAGTGGCTGAAGTCTGAGGACATTCAAAGAATATCGCTGTTCTTTCACAACAAATCCTTAGAGAAAGAGGTAAGAGGCTTTAGAAGCTGTAAATCTTGTAAGTTACATAAATTTGTCATGTCTAAGTTGAGAAATTTCTTGGAGTAGGATTTAAACGTCTTTTTTATAATGCCTAACCATTTTTTTCTTAATCTTTTCAGTACAGAGCAACAAACTTGCCGGCCTTTAAATACTATGTCACCTGCGCCTGTTTGATCTTTTTCTGCATTTTCATTGTGCAGATTCTGGTCTTGCCTAAGTATGTGCATTTTATATTTCTTTATATTAGAACTGAAAACATTTTAAATCAATGAGATGGTTTCAGTGTGGCGGGTTTGTGTGGTCATTTTGGGGACGACTTTGTTTGGTGGAACAGATTAAACTTCGTTTCAGAGTTTAAACATTCAACTTTTTTTTGCAGGACAACAGTCTTGGGAATATCCTTTGGAATGGCTTTTCTCATCCTTTCCCTTATCCTCTTTATATGTTTCATTGGACACCTCCTGGTGAGTAGTGTCTTTATGCAAAGTCAATTCCTCCAGGCATCTTTGTACTTGGTCTTTTCACATCAGCGGATAGGCCTGCTGTTTAATGTAGCCCTTGTGTTCTTAATGTTTATCCTAATGTCATTCCAAAGGCACACGAGTGATCCAAGCGCCTCTCTGGTCAGCTTAACAGCCCATTAAGTGACCCTTAAGTCAACACAAGTGCCACTTTGGTGTAGCTTTGGGGCAATGGTCCAGAGCACACCGGTTATTCTGTATTATTTCCCAGGTGCCATTTACATGCACAGATGCAATCATCAAATTTTACGCCACACATTGTCATCATCCTGTTTCTAGTGGAATGATTTGTTTCAGGAAATCATTACAGAAAATTTGCATTTTGCAATCACAGAAAATACACCGGTGGGAGTGTGAAAGTTCTAGAAATCACTAACAAAAGTACAGCAATGTAAGTGCATGTTTAATACATTTGTTCCTGTCTTGAAAACAACATGAAAATATAAGGCAGCTGTTCTCAGGATAAATCTACTGTTTCGGTGAAGTGAAGGGCTAGATTATCACAAACTTTTCCACTGTATAAAAACTGTACAGCTGACCTGTATAATGTGTAGACCCCCCCCCAAAACAAAGCATTACTGTATTCATCAGGAGATCCTTATTTTGTCTTCTGTGTGAGGCTGCGGATATTTATTAAAGTCAGTATTACGCTGGTCTGTTTAATTTACATTAATACTTGTGTTTTCACAGGCATCTTAATATGACATGTAATGAAATGACATAAAAAACTGAAGGTACTATAAAATTTTATAGGCCACGGGTCCATGCAACCTCACTCATTCTTTGATGGCTTTAATTCTTAGTAAGTGTGCATCAGCTGCTGGTTCTGACCTCGGCTCCCCGTGGATGTCGCTGAACTCTAAAGACAAAACTAGAAAAACACTTTATAAACAACCTGTTGCCTTTATATCGGAATTGTTTGGCATTGCTGGTTCGTGCTCTGTTTCATGTCGTGTCATGAAAATGTCTGCGTATTGGGAAATTTGCAGTATCTCAGGAAGATGCTTGCAGGGCTACTGTGTAATAACACAGAATCAGCCTACGGTAAATTTTATGATTCCTTTTGTCAGACCACGTGTCAAATACCTCATGTGAGTTAGATGAACTAAATATGATACAATTCCACATTTAAATAATACTTATTTATAATTTCTTTCCTGGATTGGAAGCACTGAACATCTTTGACCAGTCAGTTTTTGTTTTTTTTAGTCACTGAAAATAGCTTCTGTTTATTTAGAAAATTAAATATATATATGTAAAAACAGAAATACAAAAAAGGGAGACCTCTTTGCTTTAAGAAATCTTTGCCGCAGAGTCTTTTATCTTAAGTAGCAAAGTTATTTAAAAGTGACTAATTGAATCTTATGTAAGCACTCACGTCTCTTACATTGATCAACTTGAAATGCTTTCATTTCACTTCATTCATCATTTACATTTAGGTTCTAGGCATCCAAATAGCTGTTCTAACAAAATGGTCCACAAATATCTTGATTTCAGACCAAAATGATTGCCTCACTAACTCTACATTTCCAATTTTCCCTGTGGTATAAAATAGTCTGCCATCCTTAGTATATTGCAATTTACATCTCTGAGCTATTTAAATGTGACATCCACTCAGCCCTAGTGATGCTCCGATATTTGCTCTGAGATGATCAAGTAAACGATTTGGGTTCTCGCTCTCATGGCTTCACAATGGAACAAACTGTCTGTAACTGACCTGGCACAGGAAGATTTCAATAAATCTTTGATAATAAACAGTAAACATTAAGTATAAAGTGGCTATGTTGTGCTGCCGGGGTTAGACATGAGGTGCATGATTGCACAGTCTCTGTTGCTCTAAAGTGACTCTAAATAATATTAATTTCCCTTTTGAACCAGGGTTTGAATCTAGTTAATATCCCATTTTGTCTTTATTTAATTATAATAATGACAAAAGAAACACAGGTACTATTACAAGTAGTTTCTAATAAAAATGATTATTGTTGATCATTTCTAAACAGTGTTGTTCATGATAAAGTCATTTAAAGTTGTAATTTTGCAGCTCTGTTATTTCATTTGTGTTGAAATTAAAATGTTGGAATTAATTGCTATGAACTTAAGTGGAACCCTCTCCATCATTATGTGGCTCTCGCAATTTTTCCTTTGCCCTGCTGAGGAAATACAGGTTAATCAGAAAGTGTTGCTTCTGCGTCTGAACTTATGTTTAGTTTAGTTTGTGTCACACTAGTTATCTTTAGTCAACAAAAGCAATGAATTTGCTCTTTAGCACTTGGTTGTTGAGATTCTTGTAACTAGCTTGTCCATCGTTGTGGCTTCCTTTGCATGTGACATATTTGTGACATTATATCCCAGCTCTTTCATACCTTATTGCATTTGTGTGTTGTGTGTCTACGTGTTCCTGCAGCACTGCAGTAAAAGCACCTCCACTTCTTGGATGTGGTTGCTGAGGTCATCAGTTATTATTGCCAACAAACCATGGCCCCGCATCACTCTCACCATGACAACCACAGCTCTAATACTTATAATGGCAGTCTTCAACATGGTAAGCTTTTTCGATGTGCAGGTACTACACTGAGGGAGTGGGACCACACCTTTCAGGCTTTACGAGGAATATATATAGCAGTCCTTCTGATAACACATCTCCTATTTGTAACTGCAGCATAATTAGAAAGTAAAATGCGGCATGTTATCTCACAAAAATAAATGGGCTTCTTTAAAATTATATTCTTAACAACCTTGCAGAATACAAATGAATAATATAAAAATGATATCTTCATTTACTGCAGCAAGAAGCAAGTCAGTCATCATGTTTAGAGCCTGTGGAAAATATTATGTAGCATTCATTAATATGCCCTTCCCCTCCCCTCTTCCTTTTTTCTTTTTTTTTCTTGCTTGTAAATTAAGCCTGAAAAATATTTAACTACAGAGCAAATATCTTGCATTGTTTCTTTGCAGTGAGTCTATCAATTGGCTCCTAAGACCAGAAGATTGTTTACCCAGCATTTCATAAAAGTGCCAAGACAATTTGCGTGCAGTGATGACTGAATGCTGTATTTAACATTTACATCGTTGCTTTGATTTTCTATATTTATTTTCCGATTTATCTGATTGAGGTTTATTTTTGTAGACAAGGAAGCCCATCAAAACATAAAGCCTCAGACAAAGGTGGGATGGAAGCCTGAGGCTTGAAAGGAAGCTGCGTGATAAAGCACAATGTCAGGACCCTGGTTTAGACCTTCACACAAATCGATTCCAGAGATTATAATCGTATTTTGCGTCTGACTCGGGTCAGTCGCTCAGGGCGTATGAACCAAATTAACCTGGCTTTGCTCAGCGGGGCAGCCAATCCTCATTTTATCCTGCAGGTTCACTTTAAACGACGTTGTTGAATGCTTGTCACTATTGGCCTCTTATCTAACAAGATTCTATTTTCCTCCTGCAAGTCTAATGCAGACTACTTCATCTTGTCCCATGCTGATGTGCAAAGAGGCAGGCAGAGAAAGCGTATTTATAATTTGCATGACAATTCCCTGGATTGTTTTCTGTGGTCCTGAATTTCTGTTGACTTTGTGTTTTTCTTCTAGTTCTTTTTGGAAGACAGCGTGCTGCCTCCAGTTCCTAATTACAATTCATCCAATGAAACACTGTTTTACAATAAAGAGGAACTAATCACCCTCTCTGGGAAAAACAATTTCTACCTTCCTGTAAGACAAACATCGCCATCATCATCATACTTTATTCAGAAATTTGTTACTTTAGGTTTTTGTTTTTCTACAAATTTGCAGTTACTCCTCCTCCTTCTGTATAGTATTTAATTTACAGTTGCATCCTGGGCCTGATCTCCTGCTCAGTGTTCCTGAGGATAAACTACGAGCTGAAGATGATTATCATGTTGACAGCAGTTGTGGTCTACAATGTCATTATCCTACAAACACATGCCTCCCTGCTGGACGAATACAGCAGATTTCTGTACGAGACCGAAAGCCTTGACAGGTAGGCTTAAAGTGAAAAACAGGAACGCTTCGGGGGGAGCATGAGATGGATGAAAACAGTCAAAGAGGGTTAGGAGACTGTGATGGTAGCCTGAGGAGGGAGGAGGAAGTTCTGAGCAAACTGAGAAATGGTAAATTATATTTTTTTACAGCTATAAGGCATGCTACGATAAAAGAGGAGGTGGATGGGTTAGCTTAAGATTTTATAGCAGTAAAATGTTAATGCACCACTTATTCACTAGTGAAGTAGACAACTGCTTTAGAGTTAAAATCTATATTTAAAAAGTCAGAGACCAAGCTTCATTGAATAGTTTCCCTATGTGCCATGATGCACCCACCCATGCAGAAAGAAAAGGAAAAAGCTAATCATGCTATGATAGGAAGTGCCAAACTTTATAAGAACAAGTGTCTATATATAGATAGTATATAAGAATCAATTAAACATGATGTAGTATGAGAAATATATTTTATGAGTTACTGTTACTACTTGTAAAATAAATGGCACCAAAATGTTTCTGCTTGTTTCTATGTCTACTCATGTTAAATTGAGACATCGCAAGGCATCAGAGGCGCTCCCATCTTTCAGGATGTCACCCAGTATTTGATGAACTCAGACTTGCCATCATAGTATTAAATGGCTGTTATTATTTAACTCATGCAAAGGAAGTTTTTGCTCTGTCCCCCAAGTCACAGCTGAGCTGAGCTGCTAAGAGAGACTATAGAGATGTTGGGACATGAAGAGACAAATCTTCCCCCATAGATGAGCATAACTGAATTAACCCTTACAGATTATGACATCAATTGTAATTTCACTAGAAAATATGGATTTCGTCTGAGCTGGAAGACAGGTTTTTGAATGTAATTTCTAACATAAATTTTTTTGACAGCTAAAGCATCATTAGCTTCTTCTTTGTGAGCAAATAAATGTCAGCAGATGTCTAAATTGTCTGATTTCCCACCAAGGACGGCACTTTTCTGTCTGGTTATGGGCGTTACTGTCCCGGACTGTAAAACTGATAAATCTGAAAAGTTTTGATAATTTTTCTAGTTGGAAAAATCTTAACAGCTGTTATTTCTTTAATTAAAAGAAGAAGAAGAATCCCAGCTGCAGTGCGTCTACTTTTCATCTCCAGTTTTTACTGGAGATAAGATTAAGAGTAAAAATGTAAAATGTGCTTCCTTGTATTAGAATGCAGGTCTTTTGACAGTTTAAATGTTTTCAGCATCAGCTTTCATCCAATATGCTTTGGGCTTGGACTGTGTGGGAGTCTACGTTGATAAAACCTTGCTTTTTATGATAGTGGAAGACTGAAGTTTTATATTCCAGAGTTTGTGCAGAGCGGTATCTCTGAGGATCATGAACACTTGCTTTTTTTTTTTCCTTCTTGAGAAATGTCTCTAGTCGATACACCCTTGCAGGAGGGCTAACCCCCCTCCGAAACGCATCCAGTAAACAAGCTCTTGTCACAGCAAAGCAGAAGCGACAGTCTTAATTAAGTGACAGGTTGGAATAAAACGCTCTGCTAGACATCTCTACTGACTGCAGTCAAAAATCCCCTTTCTCATCTATAACTTTTAGTTTTCTAGCCCTCTTTTGCTGTTCCATCTTTTTTTTTTTTGTTGTTCAGTTGCATTTTATTTCTGTCTTTATCTTTTTCTTATCTTACAAAAACATTTGTCTATTTTTTTCCTGCCCAGACCAGGAGTTCTCAAAGACCTGAAGACTATGGGCTCTATATCCCTCTTTATCTTCTTCATCACTCTGCTTGTGCTTGCCAGGCAGGTAAGTCTAAGCTGTAATAGTCTGAATGGCGTTGTCATCGGTCTCCTGCTGCACAGTTTATCGCTAAAAGAAAAGTAGTTTTCGTCTGTGTGCCATTATTACACCATCATTGGACTTTTTCCATTCTTTTTAGCTGCGGGTTTTGGATGTTGATGGAAAGTTATTTTTACTGTATTTGCAAAATGTAAAAAACCCAAAAAAAATCCTCTGATTTAGAAATTTTCCCATGTGATGTGTTCTTACCAGCTGCTAGCTTTAGTCTTTTGAAGCATGTTGAGAGCATTGCTAAGCTTTAGCCTTATCTTTTACCTACCTTCCTTTAGATTCTTTGACCCTTAATGGTCTCTCATAGATTAACACATTTTAATGCCACTAATGTTTTACGTGACTCATTTCTTATATGTCACAACGGCGATGCTTTGGACGATTATAAATGCAGACAAATTTGTAGCTCTGATGCTGCTGGTTCTGCCTCTCTCTCTGTATCTCTTTATTATCTCAGAGCTTTATGAGGAAAAAACAGTGGCTCTCATTTATCTTCTAAGTGAAAATCAATCAGTGAACTTGGTAGAAATGGTTAAGCTTTTTGGCTGCTGTGACACACTGAAAGAGAGGCATCTTTAGACCAATTTGTGTAACCTCCCTCAGTCACTCAGGGGCAGCGATTTACATCAGCAAGTCTGCTGTTACTCAGATGTAATTTGAGATTTAGTAGTGAGAGAGAAACCAGAGGCTGGAGAGTAACATGTTCTGTACTCTGACTTGTTTGGGGGTTCTGCTGAATTGTTCGTACTAGAATTGGAGCATCGTATTTGTACAGCCCGAGGCCTGTACTATATGAAGAAGGATTTTTTGGTTAGGGAAGTAACCTATACGCTTAAAGTGCAATGGAGCAGGTTATGTTTAAGATGAACAAATAAACAGCTACATCATTACTTCCTATTGACCACTGAGACCTTGATGCTAAAAGCGTCTAAAGAGTGTTTTTTTCACCAGTATTTTGCGTAAGAAATGCAGATAATTTTTTTGTTATACATGTACACAGTATATCATAAATAAAGTGTATTACTTTGCATAGGTTAGAATAGTGTCACATTCAGGATTTTGTCACTCAGGGAGAGTAGGCATGGTCAAAGGAATATTGCAGTTTCATTTTTAAATGGGATGGAGCTGATCACCTGGGCTCTACTGTGTACTGTCAGCAAGGCTGCTGGAAATGGTTTTCACTGTGGATGCTGTGGATGTCCTGAAAAGCTACAGAACTGGATACTGACACTTAATCAATTTTCCTGTAGACTCCTGTTGGTGGCCGCAACAACACCACGCCAACGGACTCTGTTCTGGACCGTTCTCTTCAGCTGGGTCCACGTCTTTCTGGCGCCCTTCACTTCGCTCTCGACAGATCTTCTCCATGTCTGTTTGGGTTTCCTTTTCCCTTGAAGGTTCCAGTCCAGTGCTTGCCTTGTAACGTTGTCTAGTGGTTTTCGAAGTATGTGGCCTATCCAGCCCCATTTTCTCTTCTTGATGTCTTGACGGACTGAGTTCTGGCTGGTTCCCTTCCACAGGTCTGTTTGAGATCTTCTCAGGCCATCTGATGTTGAGGATGTGTCGCAAGCACTTGTTGATGAAAATCTGTATCTTGCTGGTAGTGGTGTTGGTCACTCGCCACGTCTCGGACCCATACAGGAGGACTGCTTTCACGTTGCTGTTGAAGATGCAGATCTTGCTGCGCTGAGATAAGGCTTTGGAGTTCCAGATGGGTCGCAGGGTGTTGAATGCAAGCCTTGCTTTGTTGATCCGGCTCCTAACGTCTTCATCTGCGCCGCCATCACTGTTGACTATGCTTCCTAGGTAGACAAAGCGGTTGGTTTCCACCAAGTCTTGTCCCTGTAGCTGCAGTGGATGTTCTTGTCGGTTGTTCAACCGCATCACTTCCGTTTTTCTGACATTGATCTTCAGGCCGGTCTTTTCTGCCTCCTCAGCGAGCCGTGTAAGCTTGGACTGTGCATGTTGCTGCTTATGGGACAGAAGGCTGATATCTTCTGCAAAATCCAGGTCCTCCAGCTGTTTGGTGAGGGTCCACTGGATGCCGGTGTTGCTGCCCTCTGTGGTTCTTCTCATGATCCAGCCCATGACGATCAGGAAGATTGTTGGTGACAGCATGCAGCCTTGCCTCAGTCCAGTTTTCACTGCGCAGGGTTGGTCAGTTTTCCATTGTGGATGATCTGGCAGGACGAGTCTTCATAAAGCTGTTGGATGATGTTGATGAGCTTCTGCGGGATTCCGTAGTACTGCATCAGTTTCCACATGGTCGTCCCTTTATCTAAATGTGCTTTTCAGAGAGAGTTAAATGTATTTGAAGAATACAAATTACTGAAGTAGTTGTCTCTACCATAAGGTGTAATTATATCTGCACCATAAATAATAAATTCTATTTATTAATATCTAAAGTGTTACATGCGCTTCTGATTTGTGTACACACAGTTTTTAAATCACTGCCTCTATTTTTGTTGCTGGCTGAAACATGTGGTAACATCTGTGCTGTCCAATCCGGTCATCTGCAGTGCTTGATCATAATTGTCCCGTCCTGCGAGCACGTTTTTCCTTGGTTGGTCATTTTTATTTACCAGATCAGTTCACTGCATATGACAATTAAACAGGATTGACTAGAGTTGCCATCACAGACTACCTGAGGTGTGAGTGCTGAAGAAAAGGAAAAAAAAAATCAATCCCATCAGAGCCTTTAATTCTACCTGATCCTGGAACGTTTTATTCCACTTGTCCTTCCTGATCTTGGACTCTGAAGAAGGCCTTGTTATTACACTGGTGAAGTAACTACATCATTTAAGCAAAGCTGCAAAAATCACTGGGTCAGTCTTGTCTGCCTTGACCAAAAGTCATACTGTATGAGGTTTTTGTAAATGTGCCTAAATTCTTGCATTTTTTTTACATTTCATGTCCTAAGACTTGTTGGTGTCCATATTTGTGGCTGTTTCTGTTTTTCTCTGTGACTTCTTGGAAGAAAGCTGTACAGCTATACCTTCAGTCTCTTTACCTCTGTGTCCTCTTGTAACAGAATGAATATTACTGTAGGTTAGACTTTCTCTGGAAGAACAAGTTCAAGAAGGAGTGTGAGGAGATTGAAACCATGGAGAACCTCAACCGCGTTTTACTGGAGAATGTCCTGCCGGCGCATGTCGCAGAGCACTTCCTGGCCCGTAACTGGAAGAATGAGGTAGGAATTTATAATCTGTGGTGTTTTTTATAATAATAACTAATGTAAATGTAACATTATCCAGATTTTATTTTCACAATAGCTACAGGACTAATGAATGTAGAATTACACAGAGGACTTCAAAGTGCTTGTTTATGTGCAAAGTTCTTTTGCGTTCATTCGCTGATGCATCACAAAAGAAGGATGTTTAATTCAGGATATCAAGACACAATTGTCAAATGCAAAATATTGAATACACTGTTTTAAAATGTGTGATTAATTTAAACTGAAATATTCATTGGTTGTTTATTAAAATAATAAGGGCTAAAGCTCAGATTTTTATTTTGAAAGTGCAAACTTTAAATGAACCTGACACTTGTTTTGTAGTGTGACAGTATGATGCCTCGCATGACTCATTCATTGCTGTAAATCCTGTTACATCCCCTGAAGTTTTAGATCTGAGGGAGTTCAAAGAATGTGGCATCCTGGAGGTCATGTAAGATTAAACAGGAGAGCAGCATCTGCTGCAGAAATCCTGAGTGACGAGTCAGCAGTTGACTTCATTTCTGTTCTTGAACAGGGTCCAAGAACAAGATGCTCTAATGAGATTTCAAGCAACTGTTTGTTGTTTTTTTGGATGGTGGTTTGGGTGATTTGCCTCCTTTAATTTGTCAATTATGTTTCATGTGCTGCCCAGTGATTGATTTTTACTTGTTTTGAAGTTTGTTTGTTTTTTAGGTCTGAATAAAACACAGAAAAGCTCCAATATGCGGTGCAGATCCCATATTTGTCTTTCAAAATCTCTTCATCTGTAATTTATCAGTTTCATAACAAATTTTACAGCATTGTTTTGCACCTGCACAAGCTAACGACTCCACTCTGTCTTCTGCTTCTCTTTGTCATGCAGGATCTGTACCACCAGTCCTACGACCTGGTGTGTGTCATGTTTGCCTCTATCCCAGACTTTAAAGAGTTCTACACTGAGTCTGACGTCAACAAAGAAGGATTAGAGTGCCTCAGGCTCCTCAACGAAATCATTGCTGACTTTGATGAGGTAAATACCCAGATCACCACAAAAACAGTCAGAAACCGTGATACCATTGCACTGCTTGACTCAGTGAAGAGCATTGCTTTTTACAGATTCATACAATTAGGTTTTATTGTCTGTGCTGCTATAAATTTGGGTTTTATTCAGTTGAGCAGTGTTTGTATTTCCATGTGTAGTTGCTTTCCAAACCGAAGTTCAGCGGTGTGGAAAAGATCAAGACCATTGGCAGCACTTATATGGCTGCTACTGGGCTGAACACATCGCCAGGGCCTGAATACACATCACAGGTAGGCCCATTACAAAGACATCATCATTTTTGTGTGACTGCCGTATGCACATCATGCAAGAACCTAATGTGTTTCTAGTTGTGCTTTTTTATGTTTCCCAGGAACATGACAGGCAGTATATGCACATAGGGACCATGGTAGAGTTTGCATTTGCCTTGATGGGAAAACTGGATCTTATCAACAAACACTCGTTCAATGACTTCAAACTCAGAGTTGGTGAGTTATGCAGAGAAGCTGAAATTAAATGCAAAGTAATGTATATAATATTTTACAGGACTACACTATAATCTTTCACATATTTAAGTGTACTGACCTCACATGAGAATTGAAAATGAGTGGTTTAAACTGATTAATTAAATTCCACAGCTCGTTTCAGGTAAATGACATGATGTAACAAGATACTATCACTGCAGTGGGAGTTTCATTCCTTGTTGCCGCCTTCTCGTTATGATATTTTCTGGAATCCCACTTCTAGAGTTTTGTATGAAAAGCAGGAATCAGCTTGACTGCAATACATCCAAAATTGCACTGTCATGGAGCCTCTATGCATCCCTTGTTTGTGTAGAGTTCCTGTAAGATGTAGAGTGCACAGATGTCTGAAAAAAACAAGACTAACGCTTATTTATGCAGTAAGACTAAAATAAGAGGTAGAACAGCAGGAAGGCATACTCCAGCTCCCTCTGTGCAATAAGAGTCAGAGTTCGATACCTTCAACCTGTGTCTTAAGATCTCAGCATGGGATGCACCATTAACTCAGCAGTGTGCGTGAGTGACTGTACATCCCTGCTGCTTCCAGATGGGGCTGAAAATGCTCCATGAGAGAGCCGTACACACCCTCACCCACTGGGACTGGACAGAACCAGTAGCTGTGAGACTGTATGCGCCTCCTGCACACTTGAGCAGATTGCAATTTCCAACAATCTGGAGACTGAGTCAGAAGCTCAGTCAAAGAGAGGCCCAGTGTCATCTCAGTGCTGCGAACAGCCTCCAGACTGCTGGGGATTAAGAGTTGAGCTGCATTTAGCTCGCCCTCCGTTTCATGTTCTGATGAAATCTTGTGAAAAGCTTTGTTCGTTCTCAAAGCAGCAGGGTTCCTGCTCAAGTCGGCTTTGAGCAGCACTCAATAATTAATCAGTGGCATCAACATTTGATTTTGATACATTTTCAACAAGTAGGAAATCTAAAAAAGCAGTTTATATTTGTAACCATAAAATAATAAGGTAATTCCAAATGAATGGCAGCAATAGGGACACTGTCTGAAAGGTTTACTAAAATGTTTCCTTTGTCAGGTATTAACCATGGTCCAGTGATAGCTGGAGTCATTGGGGCCCAGAAACCCCAGTATGATATCTGGGGAAACACTGTGAATGTAGCCAGCAGAATGGACAGCACCGGAGTCCTGGGGAAAATACAGGTAAATGATTTGGGGAACGTTTGAGTTTAAAGACATAAATAAAATAAAAAACCCACTTACCCTGCCTATTCACTGCAATACTAAATGTTAAGACAGCTGTCAAACATCAGCTGGTATTTTATTCTGATAGTTTCTTTCAAAGGACCAGCAGACCTCCTTCTTCATACTGCAGACATTTAAATGGCAATACGGATGCTTAAAAAGATAAAACTCTTCTTTCTTATGTGCCATTTATTACAGCAAGGACATCTCATCTTGACATCACATGGCATCGTCAAATCCTATCTTATGTCATGTCTGAGCACTGATAAGACAGAATGGTTTTTCAGCTGCTGCATGGCATGTGGCTGTGGCAATCATTCAGTCTTCAGAGGGCTGTATTACATTTCGCGGCCTGTACACATTTGATAGAGCCATCTGCTGTGCAGTGCGGCACAACTACAGGGCTCGCAATTGCATTCCATGATTTCCGGATGATATTTTAAGACAGATAGAAGGCAGAAATAAGACAATTTCTTTTAAAGTAGCATTGATATTGCCTACCAGAATGTCACTTTTACTCATGGTAAAATTCCCAGGCTTTCAATGTTGTTTGCTTGTTGTTCACACAGTATTTCATCTTTGTGCTTTGGGAGTACTCTCTTGCTTTAACTTACACATTGAATTTTTATGTTTTTGTTTTCTTCATCTATTAACGACCGAATCCAAATACGCACCAGTGTTGGCAACTCTGCTTGACTCACACATTTTGCTGTTAGGGCTAAAAATGAACGTAAATGTTAGACTTTAAACAAGAGGTATCCAACCGCAATCCTGCTGTCAGTGGATTTTAATGAAGCACTGCATCGAAGAAGAACCGTTTACTGATGAGTTAATGGTCAGCAGAATTTTCCCGTGGACAGCTGAGTATTTTTGCCTGTAGGAATTTAATTCAGTCATGTAAGATGAGCAAAATGGTCATCACCCATCTGGTTCTCCCTGCAGGTGACGGAGGAGACGAGTGACATCCTTCTAACCTTGGGGTACATGTGCTCTTGTAGAGGCATCATCAATGTCAAGGGCAAAGGAGAGCTTAGGACCTTCTTTGTGCACACGGAGATGACTCGGTCCCTGTCACAGGGGAACGTAATGCCCTGAGCCTGATTTACACAGGCACGAAGACTTTTGTTTCAGATTGAAGAGGTTTGAATTTCTCAGTGCTGCTTTTATAAAGTGTGGGGCATAAAGGGACCTGATCTACAAGGAGGTAAAAATCGGATTTACTGTTGCGTTACAAATTACCTATGCCACAGCTGTAGTATACATTTTGTCACTTATGTAACTGTAAGTGTAGCATGTACAGGAGATAGGCAGTAACACCTAAAAATATACTGTAATGTGAATGTGGGAGCTGGAAAAAACACAGTTGCACAAGTCAGTCTGATGTAATAATGTACAAGTTCAATGAGAGTGAAAATCTCCAATGGGCTGAATTAATATTCTGCCTCAGTTCTGGGAGGCTTGTGGTAGTTGCTTTATCATAGAAACCCCTTATCAGCAAGGTGCATCAAAACCTATCTCACCCTACAGGATACAGTTTGGATGCCAAATAACTTTTGACTCTGCATGCCCCTAACATGGCAGCATTTCCAGAGTTAGGAAGACAGTTTCTTGTCTTTGTACTTTTATCTGCTTTAATTGCACCATTTACCAACTCTTGGCACCAAACATTTTCATTGTTCTACCATTTTTTTTGTGTACAGACGCCAACAACTACGTCACAGTTTTGGCTGGATTTGTTGAGCTGCTGTTCTCACTTGAAGGGGATTTATGTGCGTTCTCCGTTTGGGAACTCATTGTTTGTGTTATTTCAGCACCATATGAATGCAGAAGAATAACTGCATGGCAACAATTTTCAGCAGAGTCTTATAAAGACTTTGGCGCCCCAAAGATAACAGAGGGTATGAATTAACCACTAACTTTTACCTGCTTCCTGAACTCAAGCAAAGTCCTAGGGTAACACAAAAGGCCAGAAATGAAAAATCTGATATTAAAATGAAAGCAAAGGTCAAACCAATACAAGTGAAAATGTCACAGCCACTGTTGCAAAGGTAAAATGTGTCTTGTTAAGAAGAAGAAAAAAACCAGCCAGAAAACAAGGTGTACCATGTGTACATAAGTCCATCGACCTTGTTAGAAGCACCAAGTCTTAGATGTATTTTACAAACAGTCTAGGACTATAATAGGAAAAACAAATGAAAAGTAGAATCTATGAATATATTCTGATATTCATGCAGGGCGGTGTTTTCCAAAACAGTCTTTCCAGTTTCTCCTTGGCTGCATTGACTGACGTGATTAGGATCAGATTTGTCAGTGCTTGCTGAAAATGGAAAATCTGGGGCCAGTTGCATAAATGACTTGAGATGTGTACAAACACATTGCTTTCATGCAATTTATAACAGGATGTGCCGTAACAATGGACACCCTTTGCACACTTAAAAACAGGTGTACATAGTTGGGGGTGTTTTTTTTTGTTTTTTTTGTTTTTTTAAGAGCCACAAGCAGAATAAATAAGAGATTAATACGAAAACATGAATGATAAACCTTTCTGTAAAATCATGCATCTTTTTCTTCCAAGTTTTCTTGGATGATCTAATTAGAAAAAAAAATCCTCAATGGTGACTTCATAATGTTATTTTCAGCAGTTAAATATGTAGTCTGATTCAGTGTGAGTTAAAATGACCAAAAAACCGTGACAAACACACATTATGAAGGTTACAATTTTGCCATCATTCATCCAGATTAACTTAAGGTCTGTATGTTACAGTAGAAAGCACCTTGTTGTTGTGATTTGGCACTGTAAGCCTAAACTGAATTCATGTGACGGATTGTCATTTAAATACAGTTTACCCAGCCTTTAAGTTAAAATAAACAGCATACATTAAAGCTTCTCTAAGGTCCTACACTAAAGTAAATTCCTTCAATGTTAAAGTGGTAAACTGTTATTTCATCTTTGGATCCAGTTTGCATCTGCACATGAGCTCATCTCTCTTTTTTGTAAATAAAAGCTGATTTGAATGTGGGAAGGCGGGACAAAGGTTAAAATGGCATCCAGACACACATAACATGACACATTTGGTGACTCTACAAACTGTGCTATAAAATGTTTTATCTTAGCATGCACTTTATATTGCGACCCTGACAGAAAGACTGCAGACTTTTGTTTGTGGGTACAGTTTTATATGCACCTGGCCCCGTGAGCCACAAAGATTTACAAAACAGGTTCAATTAAAAAACTACAAACATTTAAGACTTTCTTGGGAAATCCATGCCTGACCTGTGTACAGGGTAGCTTTAGATCACATATGATATGGTGGTTTTGTAAGAAAAGAAAATACTACCAAAAAAGTGTTTTGATGTTTTGATGATGCAAGTTGTTTTTTGTAAAAACGTAATTAAAATTTCTATGTATTTCAGTGCTACAGTGCCTTTATTTACCCTCAGGATTCTTCGAATATGACAAGCTCAGTTCATTAACATGTCAGGATTTGTAATGAAAAGCCGTACAGTACGTGCTGAACTGATATTATTCGTCAAATGAAACTGGACTGTGTGAGTAATCAAATGAGCTGACGATGTCACTATAATACATACATCATAACTAGAATAAAGGTCTTTGGTTTACCTTTAGAATACTGTACAGACTTGACACTGGGTGAGCATGCAGATGGCTACGATATGTCTGGACTTTAGGGTGTAAATTATTTCAAAAACAGATCATTTTGGTCCAACTAGTCTGAATGAAAAGAGGAAACCCAAAGAGACAGGGGGCTTCATACCAGAGTATTCGAACATTTACACAGGACCTTTAGCAGCCACACTACAGACGTCTATGCTTCTGTTGACCTCAAGCAAAAACAAAAAACACTGACATGATGTTTTTGAACGTGCTAATTCTGGGTCTGACCTTGGCCTGACTGCACAGAAAAACCCAGTTTCTATCCACAATTCCTGACACTGACTGTAAAAATTTGTTAGTCACTTTGTTTGTTTCTTTACTATGGAGCTGCATATTTCCCTCATACAGAAATGATGCTAAAAATAGATTTAACCTTGAGAGCTTTTTAATCCTGCACACTTAACCATCCCTATAACTGAGGGAAAATGAATAACGGCTGTATGTGTCAGTGTTCATTATGAAACAGTCATTTGACGTCACAAAGGAGCGCCACTCCACGCAGGATCCAGTATTCTGGAGGAAGGGAGGTTTTCAGGTCTACAGCTGCGATGTAGTTTACGTCTGTCCTGGTGGGCTTCTTGTAGATTGGACAGGAATAGAGGCGGGAGTCTTTTACACCTGCAACACAGAAAAGAAACACGGCATTTGCTGCAGAAAGTGGAAAGAGAAAAATCAAAAATGGCATTTTTCATGAAAACTAATGAGAGAGAGCAGCAGCTGCCAAACTGTGCCTTAATTGTGTTTCTAACTAGAATCATTTCAATTCAATGAAATATTTACATCAGTGCAGAGATGCCACTGGGACACCCAGCTGTGCTCAAAAGAAACATCTGTTTTTATGTAGTTAGGAATCTGCTCAAATTAGATAGCTCGAATTAGGAGAGCACGCTTATTACCCAGTACTCCCTCAGCACCATTTTATAGTTCTTTAGCCAGTCTGCTGCTTGTTTTGCTGTTAGTCTGCCAGTAGAATAGCAACAGCAGTGCTCCTTGCTCATGCATCAGCAGGGAAAAAACTAAAAATAATTTTCTCAGAGCAAACAAACAGGCTTGTTGTGTCTTTACAAATGACACTGTATGTGGACAAGGATGGAACTAATCCCTTTGCATGAGTGAAAATTAAGTAGAGCAGCTTTCCAACCTCTTGTACCTCATGCCTACACATGTGCACGGCACACACACCAAGCACTTGTCTACTGAAGCATCCCTTTAGCAGTCTCCTTTGCACTGACACACTCAAACGTAGCAGGCTGCCTTCGTATGGGAAATGCTGGGAGGGGACGTGGTGTAAACAAACTGCATTATGCGTATCATTGGATCATTAGTTCATTTCCCAGGAAGCCTTGCTCGCAGGCATCCATGGGGGTCTGTGTCTGTCTGAATATACGTTGGCCTTATCCAGAACAAACACTGTGCCACATACTGCTGGTAATCTATTCCCAGACAAAATAAATAACACTTATTCTGCTTGACATTTAAATGTTACATCCAAGGAGTGACTGTGTGGGATGCAAACATTGAGAAGACAGGTAGGATATAAAGCTGCTCCACCAAAAGATTTGTTTTTTTTAATTTCCCCTCCACACTGTTCCTAAATAATATAACTCACCATTATTCTCAGCATACATCCTGATCACCGGCATCATCTCAAAGAGAACTTTGGGTTTGGAGTCAATAAGTTTGCAGTTGCGGCGGTCCCAGCCAGCTCCCTCCAGGTAAAGACCATAGACGTACACTCCCTCTGTGGGCGGCTGGTTGATGTCATCCTTCATCCACTTCGTCACCTCGTTGCACAGCACCATGCGGTCCAGGGCCCAACCCTTGTTCGCCCGAGTGATCTCCTGCGAGTACATGTGAATGGCACATAAATGACAGAAGTGACATTTTGAAATGGTTTTCCCACATGAAAATCAATTTTGATAAAAGGTCTGTAACAATAGGAACACCAAAATACACTACTGGGAGATAAGTGAACTCCATCACAAGAGTTGTTTTGTGAGATGATGTTGCAAAAGGAAAAAAAAATAACTCCAGTATGACAAATTAAGTGAAATTTGAGTATTTTATGGCCTCAGTCATTTTATTCTCATTTTCAAGTTTAAAAGAAGAAATCCTTAGTGGGCAAACTTGGGAGAGACAGAGACTGATAACAAATGACAAAGGCAGGCACATACCCATCTCAGATAAAACAAGCTAGCAACTTCAGGCACATTACACAGAATCAGAGAACAATGTAGGTAGTTTGTGATGCCTGTGGGATAATAAAAGTACATCTCCTGAGAAGCTCAGTGGTAGGACTGAGGGCTATATTTGGTATCTATCAGTAGTCAAACAAATCTCTTCTTAGTAAAATACAGAAATCTACATCCTCAATATTTCCTTTATCCGGGTGAAAGATCCAGGCTCTTCAAAATATTCACTTGGAAGTAGAATCCTTTACTCAGTGCATACTGCAACTCTCAGGTCTACACTTCAGTTCATTTTCACTGTTACTGTATGTAATACGACTCCTGTTTACCACCAAATTCAGTTAAAAACACACTGATTTAAGCCACCAATCAAAGTATATGTTCAGCAAACTATTAGATTCAAACCCCCAAGATAAAAGTTCAGTAGCATGGAGGAATTGTTTACCTTACAATGGTAAATGGCCTGTATTTATATAGTGCTTTTACTGGTCCCTAAGGACCCCAAAGCGCTTTACATATCCAGTCATCCACCCATTCACACACTGGTGATGGCAAGCTACATTGTAGCCACAGCCACCCTGGGGCGCACTGACAGAGGCGAGGATGCCGGACACTGGTGCCACCGGGCCCTCTGACCACCACCAGTAGGCAACAGGTGAAGTGTCTTGCCCAAGGACACAACGACCGAGACTGTCCAAGCCGGGGCTTGAACCGGCAACCTTCCGATTACAAGGCGAACACCCAACTCTTGAGCCACGATCGCCCCAATCGTGGCTTGTATCATTACAAGAGCAATGATACAAGCTTGAGCCTGTCGTATGTAACTGCACTCAATTATCTTCATATACATGAGCTCTTTAAATATTTGTTGTATTGCTCCTGTCCTGTTTCCCCTCCCTGAGCCTGGTTGTGCTGGAGGTGTCTTCTTGTTAAAAGGGAGTTTTGTCTCCCCACTGTCACCAGTTGTTTTCTCAAAGATGGGTCATCTGATTTTGGGGGGTTTTTTTGTTTCTATATTATTGTAGGGTTTTTACCTTACAATGTGAAGCACCTTGAGGTGACTGTTGTTGTGATTTGGAGCTATATAAATACAATTGAATTGAATTAAACATTACAGCCTTTCAAAACTGATAAATCACTGGATTTGCTAAATAAATTATTTAACATTCAAAATCTCTTCAAGTTGTAGATCCCATCTGCTCTCACTTTTCCAGAAAACTTTAAACATACATTTGCTGTCATGTACTTTTGATGCAAAATTGGAACCACAGATGGCAGGAGTAAAGTACAGGTATAATACAGATGTTGTTCCCCCATAAAACTATTCCCACTTGCTGCCAATCTACCAGTATTGGCCAGATCAGAGCACACAAATGGCACCAATAGATAGAAATGGTCAGAGAGGAAGACTAGGAACGGCAATTTCATACAAAAATTGCCATTTACTATGCTTGTGCCTGCAGAATTCACAACAGGGATAGGATTTAAAGACAAATTCAGCATATTGTCTGAATGCAAAATGAATTTCATGCATTGTAAAAAAATAACTACTACTACTTGCAGGTCCCTGTGTATGTGTTTGTGTCTGTGCATGTTTGCATGCGTGTGTAAATGTGGCTGTGTGCCTGCTTCTCCCTCTGCGTGCCATCTGGTCTTTTCCCTTGCTGTGGGTAAATGGTAGGTAGCCTGATGTCGTGTGTACCTGTCTCATGGCTGTCAGGAAGCCCTGCGGGTTGAAGAAACCTGTCATCCAGAAGCAGTTGGGTCTCCCTTCAAAGATCCAGGCCTGGAACTGACGGTTCCGCTCAAGCAGCTCCGTGAACCAGAACCCCAGGGTGCTGGAGGCCCACGATGACTGAAAACAACAAGGAGACAGACAAACAATAACATGAGCAAAAGAGTACAATAAAACGCTGAAACATGTCATCCAGGTGGCTCTGAGAAGAAAAGGGGAGATAAGACATGGATTATGAAACATGGTGTGGGCAAGTGAAAAAAAGAGACTTGACACAATGGGGAAAAAAAATACAACAGAGCACAATAGACTGGAGGCAAATGATTCAGAAAAAGGATAAAACTGCAGGTAAAAGAAGTCGGCATTGCAGCCAGGAATCCCATTCCAGTCTGAATTATTCTAACAATGCTGTGTTTGTGAATGCAGCCTGACTGTCAGCTAAATAATTCTAAAAAAAACAAAAAGCCCTAAAAAAAAGTCCTAGCTTTTTATTGTTTGCTTTAGTATGGCATCAGAACAAAGTTTCTTATTTCAATTTCTTTAATCACTGAGATGGATTTGTGTGCTGTGTATACAATTATAACAATGAGTACATTAATAAAAAAGGAGCACGAACACGGCCCAAACGACAAACGAGTTAGTTTGGTCTGATAATGACAATGTCCCTTGTAAGAGCATCAATTATCCCGTGTGCTACAACTAAACCTCAAGGACACTAAATAACAAAGCTGATAGCACTAAAATCTGATCTGAGGTATTAATTTGTGCCTCTGGGCCATCTAGTACTCTGTATTGAATAGTTGTTAGAAGCTTTCACCGGAGATAAAATGATCACCTTTCATAGGACTGTTCGATATAACGATATATATCGGATGAAGATATAAAAACGTCTATCGTTTCATTTTATGCTATCGTTTGTTTCGTAGTGTCGCAAAATAAACTGTTTACGGCAATATTTTTTCATCGTTCTGATGGTCACTGTAGTGGCTATATTCATTTCTTAAATTTCTCTCTTTATCTTATATTTAATATAACCACACTACGGATGGACAAGCACCTGTTTGTATACGTTGTCGTTAGCAACAACGACGGTAAAACCATCGCGTTTCCGCTTGTTTATTTTCCACATATAAAATTGTTTTTTTTTTCCCACAATAAAGCTCAAGATCCTGTTGAGACTTTCCAAAATAAACTGAATCATGTGAGAGAGTATGCAGTGTTTATGGATGAGAAGCAAAAAAGAGCCGTCAGGTGCTAAAAAATAAACCTTAGACTCAAATGTTAGAACAGGCTTTTCCCCGCAGCACGCCGTGTAATAAATACTCACACACAAAAAAAAAACAAAACGGCGGCCGTTACAACTTATGTCTAAAAATGTATAGTTTCATGCATCGGTTAAAACACTGGACTCCAGGTACACGGTGCCCAGCTGGAAACACTTCAGGCAAGTTGAGCTGCCCGAGATTCACAGAATTTACAGAAAATGCTACATTCTTTTTACACATACAAATCTTTTTTACACACACACAAATTCTTTTTACACATACAAATCCTGATTTACAAGTACACAACTCATTTACAAGTACAAAATATTTATGACCACAATTTGAGCCCATACATAAACTCACAGTGATTCTCTCAACTGACCTTCTTCCAGCGTGCAGGAATTCGTGCATCGTACATGCAGTCCAAGGCATCCCGCAGGTTCTCACTCATGATGATGGTTCCATCAATAGCCAGCTTCAGGTCTGTCAAGGTGTTTCGGACAAGAACTATGATCCTCTGCATCCGATCGACCTCCTGACGCAGAAAGATGTTCATAGGCTGGAAAGGACCCATCTTCTGAAGACGCTCTCTCACCTGGTTTTATTAAGGCAGAAAAGATTATATCAACAGAGATGTGTAAAAACACACCATCTCATTATGTGGAAATGTACCTGGGATCACTAAAGTTTAATATCTACTCTGGAAAAACTGTATTTAAAGTGGAGCTTTATGCTGCATTTTTCATGTTCGTAGCTACTACTGTTGTTAGTATTGGTGAATTCATGTTTGCTTCACTGAAAATGAAACAAATATAGGAATGAAGATATTCTGTATTTCTGACGGGCCTTTCTGCTCCACATGCAGGCTGTATTCATTTTAAAACATCTTTTAAAAAAAAACATTTTTTCCTATTTTGGAGGCCTTTATGCGCTGTGTGAAGAGACAGTCACGCAAGCAGCAGTGAAAGCGGCATTCGCGGGGTGTGTTGTGAGGTGACAGTTTTCCATGATGAGCTTTGCACCTCGCCTCAGAAAAGTCACACTCTCACCTCATTTTTTTCTTAGCAACAAAAAAAAAAAAAAAAAAAAGCGGAGACACAGCCACCAAAATAAAACAAGATCCAGCTGCATTCACACACACTCCTTTCTATTTCTGGTCTTCTTTAGACTCTACTGTCAAAAACACTACACCCCACCTCTCCGCCTGCACCAGCCACAAGGAGCACACAGCACACAAGGTGAGTGGAGTGACATTGCACATGTTGCTTTGCACACTTCGCTCTGCAAAGCAAATACACATAGGCTTACTTCAAAAGGTACGTAGTCAGGAGGCAGTTTTTCCAGCATGTCGTCAGCCAGCCTGGATACTACAGATTCTCTGGTTTCTCCTCCGCCTGATGAGCTGTCTTTTGGCTGAATGCTGAGGATGGTATCCAGTACGTCCTTAGCCAGTTTACTCTGAAAGGTTATGTCTGCGTTTGGGTGCAGCCCAAACACCTCAGGAGTGTCGTAGGCTGGGAGACCCTGAGAAAGAGGAACAGTGATGGTTAGCGAGGTTGGTTGCATCACTGAGACAAATCTATTCAGACAGGGAATGTCCATGGTGCATTCTCTTTACTTTCACAGTAAGCACTGTGAAAGCGTCCCATGGAGCATCTTTTCATTCCTGCAATAGCGGAAACCTATCCTATAAAATATGGAACGGTTGAACTACTACCTGCTTTTTGGTTTAATTTTGTTTTTTTCCCTGGTTTTCAAACTGCTACTTCATTGGACTGCAGTTTGTGTCACTGCTAAGCTCGTTGTTGGCTAAGTTGGAGGAACAAAAAGCAAGCATCTCCACTGGAACACGTGGAGTTACCAGCTGCTTCTTTTCACCCGTTAAAATGACTGTGGGGGGTGTGACACAGAGGGGATTCATACTAGTTCTAGTAAAAGGCCGTTGGCCAGCTACTATAAAGTGAGTGCAGTGAAAAGATCACCCACAAGCTTCCCACAAACACAGCTAAATGTATTCACTGGGCACATTAAAGAGTCACTACTCTGTGGTGATGGTTAGCTCTGCTTTCTGTGTTGCTGCATGTGAACATGGACAATGACGACAAGAAACTTGACAAGTTTAAAATCCTTTCTTTGTCTTTTTGTCAACAAATGTGTATGTGCTGAAATTTTTCTATCAGTCCTTCACAAAGAGAGGACAGACTGTCTATTCTCTCCAACTCGTAGCTGACTGCTGGCTCTTCTTCCCCACGCACTGCTGCGTTTGTACTGGTGCATCATCAGGAGTGGAAAGGCTCTGTCCCATCATTTTTCCCTCAAAGACACCACAGATGATTTTACCAGCGAATGCCATCGCAGATGAAATGGATGAAACAATGTATTTGATAAGGAAATACCCATTTGGAAAAGTAAATGAATTAAAAGTGCTGATTAATAAATACATTTACATGTCTTGGTGACTGCAGCTGGAACCTTGGCAAAAAGTGTATGTGTGTGTG